ACAAATCTTGCCGTCGAAATGTCCGGGTCCATGGGATCGATACCAATGTTCTGGCACGTAATCTTCGTGCGGCCTGGGCGATCGAACGAAAATATTGGCCACGACCAAATCATGATGTGCATGTTTCCATCAACGCCTGCCTTTTTGATGTTGCGTCTCCCGGAATCCTGGCCGGGGCCTCAGCTAGATCCTGTGATGGAGTATTGAAGGCATGAGGCTAAATAGTATTCCCACCTCCGGCCCCGCGCGTAGTAGCTGCGCGTTAAAGTCCACGAGTACATGCGTGGCACTGTGCGTCGTCGTCGCGCGGATTGTGGATTGCAGCGTCGTGTAAAAATCTTGCCGCGCTTCGTCATCGAGCCCCGAATGTGGTGCGCATGCGCTGATGAAGGTTCGCGCCCCTCCGGAAATTTTGACTTGTAGCGTAGCCATCTGGTCGTTGCAGGCTTTGAAAGCAATCGCAGAATTCATCGCTGTGCGTTTTACCATGAAGACAACTCCAACGTAAGTGCGCCTTTGAACATCAGGGCTCCCGCAAAAAGAACAACTTATAACCGTGCTTGCTGTAAAATTCGCCCCCGTGCAAATTCGCCTGTTGAATGCGTGAGATATCGATGCTGTTGCAGCCCATCGCGTGCACTACTTCTTCAGGTTGGCGAAAGAGTCGCCGCGCAGACTTACGACGTTCCTCGTGGCCACGCGTCGGACGCGACCTCGCGTGCAGCGTCGCCGATGTCGGTGCCGTGTGGAAGAGGCTGGGAAACTGGAAGAAGAAGAGGACGCATCTGGGTACCCAACTCGTGCGCAAAATTGTGTGATGGTGTAGCTCTGCCAATTCCCGGGTAAATTGTAGGTGCTGCTGGTAAGACGTGGTCGCCAGAGGCGCTTTGAACGATGGTAACTTCGCCAATTGTCCCATCATCCATGTTTGCCGACTTGATTGCGAAAGGCGTGTTACTCAGCACTGGCTTTCTGGCATCGAGCGCAACTGCGTCCGACGCCCGCCGGGGGGGTCCTACTTGGACGCGTCCCTTTGGAGATTCCTTTTGTTCCGCCTTTTGCCCCCTGAACTGCTCAATCAATGATCCCATCGCATTTTTTTGTGCACTCTGCGAATTTTTGGCGGTTTTGCAAATCGCCCCACACTTTCCATTTGTCCTCCCACACCTTTTCCATTGACATGTTACGCACGTGTACCGTTTAAACCAATTCCCCACCGACTTCTAATGTATATGGTGCTTCGTCTGAAACCTCGAACGTGTATGGGCTCCGGGAAACCGTTTTGTAACTACTTCACCCCAAAACAATAATTACGAGCCGAACGGTCGGTTGTCTCTTTGTCTTGAGTTGCCCAGATATGTTTACTCCCACGTTTGAGGCCCCCGCTGCGTAGACGAGCAACCGCCATATCTCGATCCTGCATGCTGGCAAACTCCGCAAATTCAGTATCTTTTCGTTCCATTTTTTGAATGTGTTTGTCGAAATTGGGCCTTTCATTGAAGACAATGCTCTCGAATGTGCGTTCGTCCGTGTCGATGGAGTCGAAATCGACAAAGTTGCCATTAACTGCAGCAGCACCACGTTTGCCCTGATAATGGTGAGCGTTCGCAGTGCCTTGCGAAGATGCTGAATAAGTTCTTGGGGTATCGATTGACAGATGTGCGAATTTCTTTTCAATCTGCTCGATGCGCTCGTTCATCGCGTTCTCCACGATGACCGCTCGTATCTGTGCTTCCTCGAGCTCGGCGCCGATCTCGCCGAATTTCGTTTGCAATTGTCGAGTGGCTTCTTCAAGATCCCGGCGGGATACCCCGTGTAGTTTGACTGCGGCAGTATCGTGTTTGATAGGGCTGAGCTCGTCTTTGATGAGGCTCCGAATGTCGTCGATGGTTGCAGCGACACCTGCCGAAGGTCCAGAAGTCCTGTTGTCATTAATGCTGTTGCCCCCAGCGCTGGCCAGTTGATCTTGAAAACGTCGCTGTAGTCCAATCGTGTTCTCGGCGTCGTCCAGCCCAAGGGGCTTCTTTCCAAGGCGTTCTCGGTCCTGAGAAGATTCTGGTTGTGCTGGGCGAGATGCTGGATGCTGTCGGCTGGCTGGATTCCCGGTTCCTGGTGGACCTACAGAATGGGCTCCCACTGCCAGGCCATATCCCACGAAGTGGAGTGCTGCCATGCATTCCGTCCTCTGACTGCGCTGGAACAGCAGCTTCTTTGCGAGCTCAGGCGCTTGAACCCCACCAGCCCTTTATGGCGTGAGTGGTTTCGGGAGCTTACTCTTCCAACTCCCTTCTTCCCCTTCGGGGCTGGGTTTACCCTTCCCCTCGGCCTTCTCCATAGATCAGGACGGGGCACCCCGCGGGTCGCTTGAGCGTCCACGATGGCCTCGGCGAGAAAGACAAAATCATGAATGTGAATACAACGGCTTTGGACCAACTTTGGCGTCCTGGGGGGGCGGTCCTAATTGGACCCCACCTTCTTTGATCGATCACCTCCAAGATGGCCCCCGAGGCTTCCAAGAGTACCCCAAGAGGCGCCCAGGAGGCCCCAAGAGGCCGCCAAGATGCCCCCAAGATGCCCCCAAGAGGCCTCCAAGAGACCTCCAAGAAACCCCAAGAGGCTCCCCTGACCCAATATGCTTCAAGAGGCCCCCAGGACCGCTAAGATGCTCCCCAAACGACATCAGGCCTGGAAGAAGCTCTCGAGATATCCGAAGAGATTCCGAGAAGCATCCAAACGGCCTCTGGCCTGTCTGTTCGCTCCTCTCCTCGTTCTCTTCCTCATCCGCCTGATTCCTGATTCCTGATGGCTGCAAGGCTCGTCGAACGTAGCCTCCTCCCCCAACTGCCCTGGGGGGGCTCATCCGCTAAGTCCTCCTCCTCCCTCTTCCCTCCTCCCTCCTCCCCCTCCTCCCCCTCCTCCTCCTCCTTCTCCTCCTCGTCTGGCTGGTTCCTCCTCCTCCTCCTCCTCCTCCTCCTCTAATTCCTCCTCCATCCTCCCGCTCTTGGGATATGACGGCTTCCCAGCCTTCATTCCACTGCGTGCTCCCCAAATGCCTGACCAGGACAACTCGCCAGATCATTGTTTCTGCATGGGCTGATGGGATTACGCGAGGCGTCTATAATGTCCCCGATGCTCGGCAAGTTTTCCAGAACTTGTAATCAACGCGAAGATAAAAAGAGACGAAGGGGTCGGAGGAGCAATCTGATGCGGATGAGGAAGGCATCGGGACGAGGGAAGATGAGGGGACAGACGGAGAACTCGATACTGCAGACACGCGTGAAACGCCATGAAATATCATCAACTTGTCCGCCTCCTTTCTACTGCCTCCCGAGGGGTCCCTGGAGAGCTGTACGGGCTGTCTGGTGCCCTCCTGGAAACTGACCAACCCGCCGAATTTAGCATGACGGAACCGGGTCCGAAGGGAAACGGGTCCGGGAACTCAAGGCCTTCCCCCAAGAACAACCCTTCCTCCCGAGCCAGGTTTTGACAGCTCTGGGGCCCGGGGAAGGCCCTGAGAGCCCGAAGACGACGAAACCTTTTCGTCGGCGGCGAGGCAGAGGCAATCCACACCAGCGTGGGGCTAATCGGGGCGAGTTGTCCGGCGTGCAAGAGGAAGGAACGAAGACGAGAGCGGCCGCGCGAGGGGAGGAGGCGGGAGTCGCTCAGACGTGGAAGAGTTCCGCGAAGAGCCGGGAAGACGACGAAGCACCTCGGGACCCAGTTCCCTCGGGACCCCGTCGCTTCATGGCTTCGGGCAAATCACGGGGCGCTCCTGGGGTGGGGGGGGTGGGGGCCTGGTGCCGAACGTCAGAAGCAGTGTCTCAAGCCAATCTTGTGGGAGGTCGTCAGAAGGGGAGGAGGAGGAGGAGGAGGAGGAGGAGGAGGAGGAGGAGGAGGAGGAGGAGGAACGCTGCACTAGAGGTGCCCTGGGGCGTCTCGCGTCGGCGCGAGCCCCACCTCCCAGGAGGCCAGGGTGTACAGACCTCGGCCCCCCCTTGCGTGGGGCGCGCCCAGGACGGGGGAGGACAGCGAACCGGGGGAGAGGAGGGGGGGAATAAGAAGGAAGAGGGAGGAGGCGGAGGAGGAGGAGGCGGAGGAGGAGGATGAGGAGGATGAGGAGGAGGTGAAGGAGGAGGCGGAGGAGGAGGAGGAGGAAGGAGGAGGAGGAAGGAGGCGGGAAGTGCCAGGAGGTGGGGAGGGCCGGCACGCGCCAGCCTCGGCCAAGGCGGGCGCTCTCTGGGACCCAAGCGTACTTCTCGTGGGCCCCGCCCCCTTCCAGCCCGACCTCTGGAGCCGTGCCTCCATGTCTTGGGCCCCTCAACAGATCTCAATAGGAGCCCTCAAGGACGTACGCGCCCAACCACGTACATGAGCATGGCCCTCCAATCCGCCAGACTGGCCGCGTGATACGAACGTTCGCGCAATGCGCGCTCTCGAAACCAACGCGGATTCTTGTACGTGTGCATCCTCCCTTCGCGACTGACTCACGTTGGACGATTTTTGCTTCTCGGGGTATCACTCAAAAACTTACCAGCCACCTGCGCGCCCAACTGTATCTATCGTGGCCACCCCTTCTGGCCGCCTGCCCCCGTCTTGGAGCAATGCGAAGGGGCCAGGCCGCTCCAGACCCCCCCCCCTCCCCGCGCGCTTTGGGGCCCCCTCGACGGGGAAGTCGGGGACATCGCACCGACACCGAGCAGATGTTGCACCCTGGCACACGGCCGCATCCACTTCCAGAAAAGCCGAACTCCACGCTCCCAGCACCCCGCCCAGACCCCCGACGTCATTACTTCTTCACAGCGTCGACCCCCAGAAATCTCGACCCATTCCCTGGGGCCGGTGTTTCAGTCTGAGTCATTCCTCGACGACCCCGAAGCCTGGTAAAGGTGCCCGCAAAGGCCGAAACGAGAGAACATCCTCCCGTCGCAAACTTTTCCATGACCCGAGGGAGTCTGGGCCCCCGGCGCCACGCCCTGGCCCCCCTCCGCCCCGAGCAAGGCCTGCTGCCCTGCACGAAGAAGCTGCCCGGCAGGGGCTCCGCGCAACCTGCGGGCCGGCGGCGGGCCGCCGGGAGGCGGGCTGGGCGGGTGCAGCCGAGGCCTGGCACTCCTTACCCCCGCCTGGATGGAGGAGGGGGAGGAGGAGGAGGAGGAGGAGGAGGAGGAGGAGGAGGAGGAGGAGGAGGAGGAGGAGGAGGGGCAGGAGGAGGAGGAGGAGGAGGAGCAGGATGGGGAAGAGGAGGACCAGTGACAACCCACGAGTCATTAACGATGTTCGAATCAACCCTCCATCTAAGCTCCCTCTTCATAGGCCCCATACAGCGGTTCATTTCCACAGAGAGCTGCCTCGTTGGAAGACAATTCTTTTAAGACCCTGAAGCATGCCAAAACATTGTTGTCGGGATGCCAACGCCACGGATCAACCTGATTGTTGCGTCTTGACGATCTTGCATCGTGCCAGAACAGCATTCCTGGGACTTCAACACCGCGAATCAACTTAACAGTTGCATCCTCATAATCCTGAGCCCTTCCAAAACACAGTTTCTGGTACGCTGATCATGGGAATTCGTGAACTGTATTGCAAATTGTGCAACTTAATGTACGCGGCGCTGAGGCGGACCCACATTTTGAAAAAGGAACCGCCCTAAAACTGTGAAGCTCTTGCAAATTTTTAAGACGAGTGTACGCGGCACTAAGGCGAGGACCAAATTCTGAAAACCACCCACCCTCAATCCGTGAATCTCTTCAGCATGTGTAAGATGAATGTGAGCGGTGCTGAGGCGAGAGCCACATTTTGAAAACGACCCGCCCTCAATCCGTGAAGATCTTACATATTTTAAAGCGAATGCGAATGTGCGCGGCGCTAAATCGAGAGCCACATTTTGAAAACGACCCGCCCTCCATCTGTGAAGCTGCTGTCAATTTTGACGCGTCATGGTCATAAAAAAGGGTGGGGACGTCTCAGGCGAAACGCCAAGACCGCCCCAAAAACTTGCCTCGGGATACGACAGGCAGACATTATTTAAGGAACAGGAATGGAGGAAGAGGCGGAAGCGGAAGAGGCGGAAACGGAAGCGGAGGCGGAGGAGGAGGAGGAAGAGGAGGAGGATGAGAAGAAGGAGGAGGAGGCGGAGGAGGAGGCGAAGGCGGAGGAGGCGGAGGAGGCCGAAGATGATGATGAGGAGGAGGAACACCAGGATGAGGATGAGGATGAGGAGGAGGAGGCGGAGGCGGAGGCGGAGGAGGAGGAGGAAGAGGTTCGACGCCCATACAGGGAGGAGCCCAGGGGAGAGTAAAAGAAGATTGGAGTGGGGTTCCCATCCGAGGAGAGCTTTTGTTCCCCGCCTGAAGCTGCGATCCACCTCGGGCGGGTCCCGCCGACGGAGCGTCCCGCCCTCCACACGTCGCCCAAAGTCATCCTCGGGCGGGGCGCCGCGCCGTGCACGCGCCTCCGCCCTGGCCTCCAGGGCTTCCGCCCCGACGCGCCCAGCCTCGCTGCGCCCAACGAAGCCACATGCACGGATAATCACGGACAGGTCCACTCGCGTCCGCGGGCCCTGCCGCAGAGAAGGGGAGCCCTGTCCCTCGCCACCTGCTCATCAGCCACGGGCTCCCCGAAGCGGCCCGCCCGTCGGGCCCGAGGCGACCGCGGCGGCGGGCGACCATCACCCAACCACTTCGGGTCGAGTCGGGTGCTGCGGGCTCCGCAAACGGTTCCTCGTGGCCAAGGCCTGGCTTCCCGAAAAACGTCGAACACCGAAACGCAATCCTTCGAGTCCACGCGGGCCTTGAATCGCAGCGTACTCCCGGCACGAGCGAAGCCCCCTCCCGGGACCAGATGCCCCGAGACCAGCGGCGCCCTGACCTTCGGCCCAGACGAGGCCTGCTAATCCACAATGCGGTGGGCCTTGTCGGTGCAACGGGCCCCCGACTGCACCGAGCCGAACCTCGCGTCCTTGGGAACCGCAGCTCCTCCTGAATGCTCGAGCGCGCCCTCCCTGTGTACTCCCGGGTGCCGCGCGCCCTCGTGTGGCCCGCGGCCTTGGCTTAAGTCTGAGGCGAACTCTGCATGGCTAGGCGTATCCATGTCTCTTGTATCATTTTGGCAGACGGCGGCAGCCTGCGATCTATGTGTAACCACTCCATGAACGACTGGCCAGTTCTCCAAGACTTACAAACTCAAGTGGATATATCGACCAGGTCTCCGTGCGCCACCTGCGATGAATCAGCCAGCGGCGGCTTTTCCGATTCAATTCCTGGCGTCGGCTGGGTGGGCCCGAGACTTCCGCGTCCCTGGAGCGAGCCATGCCCGCCGCTGCCTCGGGGTGGGCGCGAGGGCCGCACCTGCCTGGTGGCGACGCTCGCGGCGTATCCGCCCCCCCAACTCTTGACGTTGAGCCTGAAACCGCGGTGCACGATTGGCCCGCAACTCGCGGGCCGTCGACGGTCGGCGGTGTGGTGGCATCTGGACGAGCCTGAACCCGGCCATCATGGGCCGCCAACGCCTCCTCGCGGCCTCCCGTCGTGGCCCGCCGAGCACGCCCGAAGGGCGGAGGGGCTCTGGGGGGGGCGGTGGGCGCCATGACGGGAAGTGTGTTTATGTGCCGTTAAGCTGAAACTGCAATAGGATAATAAAGGGAAGAAAGCCAGCCGGCCGGCGGACGCGCGGGCGGGCGGGCGAATCCCTTTTTCGCCCAATTGCAGCCAGGAGCTCCCGCCAGCGGCTCCGCTTGGACCTGTGAGAGAGGGGGCGCCTCGAGCACGGGTTCACTGCACGGGTCCCCCTTCTTCCCAGCGGCCACCGGTAGCGTCGAAGGCGCCGAGCTGGAACCAGGGCGAGGAACGCGCCGAAGGCGCCCCACAGAGCCGGTCAGGCCAGTCCAAGTCCACCGCATCGGAGTCCCAAAACTTGAAAGGTGGTCGTACTGCCTCGCCTTCAGGCGTCTGCAGAAGACCACCCAGGGCGCCTGCATCATTTTGGACTGCCCCCCTCAGGGTGACGCCTCCGAGCCGGCGGTTGCCTGAGAGGGCTGCGCACAGAAAACTTGGGCTGCGCGCTGCTTGGCATCTGCCACCGGCGAGGAGCTCAGAGCCCTTTGGCTGCTCTGTGCTTGCGAAGGCGCAGCCGCGGGAGCAGTATCCTTGTCGACGCTGCCTGGGGCCGCTGCAGGCTGCGCTGAGGCACCTTCACGCCGGCGCCGCCGCTTACAAGCCTGGCTGCCGTGGCTTCTTACTCCACCTTGAAGGCCCTAGCCTTTTCAGCAGCCTGTCCGAGCATCCTCTTGGCTGCCGCCGAGAGCTCTGCTTGCCGACGCGCGATCCGCTCCTCGAGCTCTTTCTTCTCCTGTCATCAATCTTGTACTCGCCGTCGTCGAAGCCCAGCCCGGCGAAGGCCGGCGGGATCTGGTCCACTGAGCCGTCCAGCATCGACGCTGAGCCAGGCCATTGCGGGAGACGGGTCCAAGTCCACCACCTGCGCGTAGGCTCCCAGAACCGAACGACGGTGCTTGTTCTGGCGCGTGTCCGAGTCTTCGGAGACCTGCGACGCCCGCAAACGCTGCTGCTCGAGCCCCTCCTTGCGGTGCTCGAAGTGCCCCGCTGCCTTCTCGAGCTTCTGCGTGAAGCGCTTGTGAGCATCTGCTGCCTGCCTTTGCTTCTCATGCAACGTGCGACGGTGCCTCGCTCCGCCCTGCTTGTCACCTGCTCTCACCGCCATGATGCAGAGCTGCTCGAACTCCTTGACCCCCCTGTGGGAACCCACGTCCCCTTAACACGCCGTGGACTGAACCCCAGGAGCGAGAGGAAGTGGGGGAGCGGCGTCGCCATCACCTTTGCTGTTGCTGTGTCCACCTGCCTCACCCTTGGCCTCGGGGGGCTTGCCAGACTCCAGCTTGTCAGGGCCCGGCCGCGCACACTCGGGGTCCCTGCAAGCTTGCCCGCATGACTCGCACAATCTACTGCCTTTGGACGTCTTCTTGCATCCGCACCGAGCGAAGGCCGGGCCAGCCCACGGTGTCCCGCGACTCCAGGTCACGCCACTGAGCTCTACTGCCACTCGACGGGACTTTCCACCACGGGGGCCAGGCAGGCCGAACACCAGCAGCAGGAGGAGCCATCTCGAGCGGGACTGGGAGCGAGACGGGGCTCTGGCTGCAGCGCTGGCTGCAGGGTGCGGTTCCCCCGAAAGGACACTGAGAGACTGCCACGGCCAGCGGTGCCCGCTGTATGCACAGGGCACAATGCCATGTTGGCCTACACGGCTACGGAGGAGGATGAGGACGAGGAGCAGGGGAGGAGGAGGAGGAGAAGGATGATGATGATGATGAGGAGGAGGAGGAATAGTGTATGTCTATGTATGTATGCATGTACGTATGTATGCATGTATGTATGCATGCATGGCTGTCTGCCTGCCCGTCTGTCTGTCTGTCTGTCTGTCTGTCTTTCTATATATTTGTCTGTCTGTTCTTATGCATGTGTGTATGTGTGTATGTGTGTATGTGTGTATGTATGTATGTATGTATGTATGTATGTATGTATGTATGTATGTATGTATGTATGTATGTATGTATGTATGTATGTATGTATGTATGTATATATGTATGTATGCATGCACGTATGTATGTATGCATATAAACAAATAAATACATACAGCCACAAGCTTCACCTCTTGTCAGGCCCTCCACCTCGAATCCCGTGACCTTTGCCACGCGTCGATCTCCACGACGACCATGAGAGGAGTAGGAGGATAATGAGGACGAGGAGGAGGATGAGGATGGTGAGGAGGCGGATCAGAAATATAAGGAGGAGGGGAAAGAGGAGGCGGATGAGGAAGAAGTCAGAGGAACAGCAAGCGGAAGAGGACCGGAAAGACTCGGAGGAGTGGGGGGGCAACGATAACGGGGAGGAAGAGGAAAAACATGAGCAGGGCGAAGGGGCGTGAAGAGGAGGGGGAAAAGGACAACGAGGGAAAACATAACGAGGAGGATTGCGGAGGAGAACGACTAAAAACACGACAAGGATGGTCATGACGAGGATGAGGAGGAAAAG